TATCTGGACACTGAAACTAAGTTCATTTGGCACAGAAGATTAAATCATCACAGATGGTAATTGTGCTACTCCTGTTTCTACTACTAAGTTCTGGACCCATGCATTCTTCCTACTAGAGATTAGTACCCCCTCAATGCATATGCTGCATCCTGAAGAATGTTTTCAGAGTGTTGCCTTTGAGCTGATGCTTTACATGTGTTTTCAGAAGCATTCTATAAGGCCAAGTTTCTCTGGATGACTTGTCTATGATCTCACCAGTGGATCATATGGCTATAGTATTATTCCCATACTTCTTATATTATCAAATGAGGCCTCTGGTTGAATATTATGCTGTGTTGATAATACACAGAGGATCTGTAGGAAAAAGGGGCAAATTGATACACAAAATAAGTATTTGTTCTTGTGAGGAACAACCACTAACACTTCCAGAAAGGAAGTGGCTCAATGTAATCAGCTATCTATTACATGAGGATTAATGCCATATTAGGCACTTAGCATTGGCCTCTATTGCTGACATATTGGACTTTCAGATGCAATAGTGGATAGGGATTAAGAAGTGGGAGATTATGCTATTGGACTCAGACAGGCCCTTGTCTTGAACACAGTCATTCTGCTAATATGTCTATCATGCTGGTTCTAAGATGGCCAATGATGAAGACCGGCTAAAGGTGACTGGCCTACTTATTTGTCTACTTAGTTGTTCAGTGCCTACTTCATGGTGGATTTGTTGTGGCTATCATTATCAAAAGATACACAAGTTTTCACTTTTCATGCCCATTCCATATATGCTTTCACATGTCTTTAACCCAGACCCACTTGTTTCTGATTTTCCTGCCCGTTCTCTTCTATGCCCCTGACCAGATGCCCAGGCCATTTGTCACTGACCAGTAATTTCAACTTGGGTTACCTTTCCTCTAGGCCAACTGGATGACCAAGTACAGAAATCACAGCTCTGTCTATTAGCAATATTTCCTCCCATTCTCTTTGATGGTGGTCCTTACACGTCTGGAATGCAGCCATGTCTATTTTCAGCTTGCACCCACACACTGAACCTCTTGTTTATTTTGCCCAATCAGTGTGAGGTTATCAATGTTATGGATCTGTATCTCTTCTTTGGGATGTCTAGGTGGTCTAAACTTCTTTCAACCATATTATTAACTATATTAGGAGACATGAGAATTAGCATAAATAAATTAGGATTAATAATCAATGAGTTTTATTTTCTAGTTAAGTGAATACAAACTGTTTTTGTTCTTTTCTAGATGGAATCAAATTAAATCTACTTAACATGATTTATTAATGCTCAATAGCATGTACTTGATGCCTTATTATTCTACTCTAGCAATGATACAACACACACCACAGTGCTTGGGAATGGGGCTTGGTTAATGCAGTAAGAATCTACATATATTTTACAGAATCCACCTGCAAGAGACAGAGTGGTGGATTAAACAAAGACAGGTTAAAGACCATTGCTCTGCATCCTGTGGTCCTTTAATGGTAACACTAATCTCCATCATCCCTCATCCCTGGATAAAATACTGTTTTTGATTTAAATTTTGGCTGCTAAGGAAGATGGTAACAGAGCTTTCTACTTGGCCTTGCCCACTCTTGGGTACATAGCATTGGCCTCTATTGCGGACATATTGGACTTTCAGAGGAAAGAGTGGACAGGGATTGGAAAGTGGGAGACTGATATTGGACTAAAACAGGCCCTTGTCTTGAACACAGATGTTATTCTGTTAATGTGTTTATCATGCTACTTCTAGTTGGGCCAATGATAGAGACTGCTTAAAGGTTACTGGCCTAGTCATTTGTCTATTTAGCTGGTAGAATGATTCCACTAAGAATAGATTCTTATTCCTAGATCCCAACAGCCTTGTGTGGGGATCATTCCACCTACCAAATATCTCCTGCTGTAACAGGAAATCTTAGTGCCAATTTAGGTCTCTGGGTATCAATGTAGACTAGACCCAGAGCTCTACAAAACGTTTGGGTATTTTCCTTTTCACTATACTCATCAGAATAAGTGGCTTTAGGTTCTTCTGAAAAAGAACTGTGGGTAATAATTACAATATATATTTGCCACAGTAAGGCCAGTCTTTTCTCACAGACACCTGACAACTTTATGAGACTTGGCCAAGTAGTGCTGACGTTTTACTGGGACAACTGCCTTCAACCTTCTATCTCTTCATTCTTGTCTTTTTCCAGTTGTCAATTTTAAGAAGCATCTTTATTGACTACGTTTCTTATTTTCCCATAGAGATGCCATTGTCTATGAGCCATCTTCAAACACACTGCCAGTCAGCAATTTTTGGCTGCTCTGTAAATGATGATGTGAGTACACTAATTTTGGGCTCCTGATTTCTGGCAGTTAAATACTGCCATCTGGCTCCTTTTACTTCTTACCACATCATTATCGTAGATGTTAAAGAGAAAGCTCTGTGATTGCAGAGGAGGGCCACTACTGTACTTTTTGTGTAAGGCTGGTTCTCCTCTCACCAGCACATTCCTGATGGCCTTGGAAAATGGCATATGTTCTGGAATCTCACGTGGAAGATAACAAGATAACATGGTGGTATTACCTGGCCTCATATGATATATTCATTTCACCATGCCCACGTTACTTGGCCTTTTTATTCCTCCTCTACTGTGAATCACAGGGGCTTGAACATTTTTAATTTGTATTGGCCTTTTCAATTTCCCTTCAGAACGATTGCACTCTAGTGGTGAATGTGTCCCACTTCCTGGGGTCCTTGCTAGGGTGATAAATCCTTGTATCCCCAGAGTGTGCCCCAAGTCATGTTGGATACTTAGTTGTATCCTTTCTTGCATGGTTATGTAAGGAGTTTTTTATTAGCTACTATAGAGCCTCTCTGGCTGTCATGTTTAGTCTTTTAACTGAATTCATATTATTTTTCTGTAGGAAAATAATCCAAAATTACAGTAATAAGCTCTGATGCCTTTTAAGCGTTGTTGCCATAATATTTTTAAATTGTCTCAATCATTAAATCTATAAAGGCATTTCTCTGTACAATGTGCCAGGGACTATGTTTCCCATATCTTTCAAGATGACATCCTCTTTGCCTGCCAGTTAGTGAGCGACCTATTACCAGACCCTATTTTACCGCCTGTTTTCTGGCACTCCTTGTATTCGTTTGGTTTCTCTGAGAAGCAGATAACAGACAGGTTTAGATATATAAGTGCTTTTTCAGAGAAAATCATCTGAAGGAAAATGAGTCAGAAGGGACTGAGAGACTGCTTAGAACTTGATGTAGGCCTGACTCCTGTGAAGGAGATGTTGGAGGAAGGAAAATCGTATAGAAAAGTCTTAGACTATAGTGCAATTTTAAGAAAGTTTCACTGAAGCAGATTGGGAGTTCTCAAGCCAAAGGTGCACACTACAGGGGTGCTTGTCTTTGGGAGAAACAGCCTTGCCTTAGTGAAACCAGTCCAATTTCCTGATAGGATTTATGTCTACAGTTTTTTTTTTTTTTGAATAAATATAGAACTAGACTCTCCCAGTCTTAAAACTTGAGAAAATTGAGCTTGCCTTATGGAAGATTCTTTCTCAGAAAACTGAACATTAGGCCTCCCTGATAGTACCAAGGAACGAAAATTTACCAGATCACTACATCTGGACAATGAGACACCAGACCCCTCATCCATCATGACTGCCTCACTGACCACGTTGCCTATTGATCAATTCCACTTCCTTATCTCTTCCTAATTCATATTTTTCCACATGTAGTTACATTTCTTCACTACTATATAAACCCCTAATTTAAGTCAGTGAGAGAGATAGAATTGAGACATAGCTCTCAACTCTGAGGAACAAGACCTAGACCAAACCCTTGGCATTTTGGTAACATTGGTATTCTTGCCATGCCCAGTTACCAGTTGGGAGTAGCCTGTGGGTACTGTGACATAATTGCAGTGTTGATTTTCAAAGCACAGCAGCTGAGACCATAGTCAACTTCACTCCCCATAGTCAGAGATTTGAGAGGAGCATATTCTTGACTGCGAAAGTACAGGATGCTTTTCTCCCCTTTGCAATGAAGATAAACCTATTTACAGCCATGTGCTAAAACATCACAGAGCTTCTGCTAACATAAGTTCCTGAATAAGTTCATGGAGGATGGCATCACCCATTACTATTGACATGAAGAAGGAATAAGCTTGTATTATGTTTGAGTAATTATACATTTTAGAATCTTTTGATAACACAAGGTAACTTAGTTTAGTTGATACTTCTGCTCAACCAACAATTCCTTTTTATATTTGCATTTACTTTTCTTCTATTAACTTTTGCTGACATCTACTGAGCTCTCAGTCTGCATTGCCCCTAGTGGTGCCCACTTATTAACATGTATAATGTGCTTTTTTAAATTTTATCAGCACTAATCATTCCTTACTCAGAGGTTGTCTCTTGCCCCAGCAGGAAGCATACCTTTGAGATGAATGTTATTTGAAATTCAAAGTAAAATTAAGCCCAGTTCATTGGTCATCTACTAAGATTACTTGATATACAGATATATTCTACCTTTTTTTTTTTTTTTTTTTGAGACAGAGTCTCATTCTGTCACCTGTGCAGTGGTGCAGTCTTGGCTCACTGCAACCTCTGCCTCCCAGATTCTAGTGGCTTTCCTGCCTCAGCCTCCTAAGTAGCTGAAATTACAGGTACAGGCCACCAGGCCCAGCTAATTTTTGTATTTTTAGTAGAGAGGGCGTGTTACCATGTTAACTAGGCTAGTTTTGAACTGTTGACCGTAATGGATGATCCACCTGCCTTGGCTTCCCAGAATGCTGGGATTACAGATGTAAGCCACCGTGTCCAGCCTCTACCTTGTTTTAACATCTGATATTTGTTTACTTCTGAATCCTTTGCATTTGACTAGTTCTTGAAACATTCTGAGCTGTTTTGACTTGGTAAAACTGTCTATATATTCCTTGACTTTTGCATGTTGGCTATTGCTGTTTTTCCTTATCTGAACCAGGGGTAAATGTCTTCCTCTGATTGTTTACTTCACATCTTCTCTGAATTGCCCTGTTGATTTCTTGTTTGGAAATTATTGAATCTTACATTTCTCTCTGTTCTCTTACTTTATGAGCTCTTGTTTCTGAACCACCGTCTGTGTAGGTGTTTGGTAGTTCTAATAGGGAACCCTATGTTGTTTTCTGTTCCTTGTCTGGTTTCCAACTGTTTCCACAGCATCTGATTACATAGGACCCCATATTAAGCCAGCTGTTTTTCTCTCAGGAATATCATCCAATATTTTTATCTTAATCTAGGATGATCTGTCCTTGAACAAACAATATAAAACAAACAATCTTCATAGCTTCCAATAATTCCTTCCCTTCCTTGAATATTATTTTCTGGCTCTTTTATTTAATTGGTCCTATATTGTCTGTTTAATATTTTTTCTCCAGATTTCTAATTGGTTATTTTTAAGTCATTAAAATGCTTTGGAGTAAATAACATTTTTGCAACTAGTATAAAAAAATCTGAGGACAGAAATGAATACATATATGCAATTAAAAATTATTTTTATTTAATAAAGTATGAACACATTTAATGTTCTAACATTTTTCTAAATTCCCAATTTGGGGGCTAGAAATATTTATATTGATAGTCTAAATATCCCCGGATTGTTTGTTTTTATTCTAACTTTATGTGGAATGGAGCTAATTAGTATAAAATATTTCTTATTAATATAGCACAACTATTCCAATCGAAAGGATACTTAGGACTTTCAAATCACTATAGTTGTTATTTACTCTGTCATGATGTTCATGGCAATAGATAAAAAACAACTTGTATGAGGCCTGCAGAGTTCAAAATAATATTTGCTTACTCTGTCTTTCAAAACTCGGTATTAATGATAGATCTAGGAAATATGCTGTATAAAGTTGGCCCTCCTTATCCATGGGTTCCACATCTGTGGATTCAGCCAATCATGGATCAAAAATATTTGAAAAAAAAAGTATCTGAACTGAATACTTTAGATTTTTTTAATCATCATTCCCTAAACAATGTAGTGTAACAACTGTTTACGTAGCATTTACACTGTATCAGGTATTATGAGTGATCTAGAGATTATTTATAATGTATGCTGTGTGTAGGTTATATGCAAATACCATAGTATTTTATATTAGGGACTTTAACATCTGCTCATTTTGGTATCCTCAGGGTTCCTGGAACCAATAGCTCCATGGATACTGAAGAACAACGTACCCTTTTTCTCCCCTTATCTTGGAAAGTTCAAGCAACATGAACTAAGTCAAGCTCCAACTTTCAGAGTTAAAAAAAAATTAATGTTTGTTTATTCTGACACATTATAAACATATAGATGTCTCTGCAATGGTTTACACCAGTTACAAGATACTGTAATACAATGTTCAGCAGAAAGGACGTAACACTGAAGTTAGCCTTCCCTCCCAATTGAACCTCAATGTCCTTGTTTACAAATGGGAGAAATAAAAGTTAGAACGTAGACTAGCCATGGAGGCAACACCAGGTATGACATGTAAGTATTCAGTATTGTGCAGGAACAGCAGTAGGACTACTAAGTACAGAAAAAATGGCAATTGTTCTGATGAGGAGGAGGGAAAGAGAAGAAAAAGGAGGAAGATGCAGGAAAAATTAAATAAATGGGGGGAAGGAAAGAGGTGAAAGAAGATAGGAATAAAATAATAAAAGTCTCTTCTTTGACTTGGATATTAATTGGTTTGTAATCCTTACAGCATTTAATATAAACTCTATAGTAAATTAGTTGTAGTACACTCAGAGTACATTTTTCCTGTAGTTGTAAACATTTTAAAGAAGTTTAGAAAGTGGATATCAACTTCAATCAACGGAAAATTTTGATGTTAAATTTCTATGTAATTAAAAATTTTTTTTTATCTTTTAATTTGTCATAGAGCTGGTTATATCACTCCCTGGCTATGTAGTCAGGTAGATTGTTTAGATTTCTTATATAGGGGTAATAACTACTTCTTTGGAGTTTATCTTAAGGAAGAGGTATGGGTCAAGAGTTTTCACTTATTTAAATTAAACTTTGAATTAAATTTTAAAGTAAGCTTTCTTTAAATTAACTTTCCTGACCAAATTAAGCTTTAAATAATCTTATCTTGTGATTATAGACTATTAAAATAAATATAGTTCAAATGATTTTAGTTCTCTGTTGCTTGCTTTTCCTCTTTGCTAACCTCTTTCTCTCTCTTTTCTTTTTTTGCCTTTTTTTCTATTTTCCCTTTTTCTTTCTCACATGTATATTAAGATAAAGGTAGTTCTCTTTCTTTTTAGTTTTAGTATCTGCAATGCCAAGCTGTAAATATGTACATGTTTATAATTATTTGTGAATGAACATAGATGAGTGTAGAATTCAACAGTTGTTTCAGAATTTATATTATTTGAATGATATACTATTAAAATATTTCTAAAAGATCTTTGTTTACTTGTATGTTTAGCAAACACTTGAAAGAGAGCTGTCTTTTAATTTGTTTCTACTTAAAATATAAATGCTGTCATTCTAAATCATTGTTGAAAATAAAATAGAACAAAAGCTAATACTAAGCCTGGGTCTAAAAAATACAAATAAAAATAATCCAAGTCACTTTCCAAATGCCTTTTATCACATGCTGCAAGGCACTGAAATAGAGTTTTCTATTCCTGTCATATTCAGTTGCAGGATTTACCAGAAGTGGACCTTGTTCCAGTTAGATGAAGTAAGATTATACTGAAAGCTGCTGATCTGTTTTTAGAAGAATTGTTACAATCCTTGAGAGAAATAGAATTTTAGCAAAAATGAATCTTCTGCTAGCTGGGAAAAATTGTTATAGCCCATAAACTCGAGATGCCAAACTTGCAATTTTGACCATGGTCTATGAAATTGGGGCATAGAAGGGAAATACATTGAAAGACTTCTTTTTTTTTTTTAAAAAAAAAAAAAGAAAAGGAAAAAACAGAAAGTTAAACCACTGTGAATTTCACCATTTCATTTTTTTCCCTAGATAGTCTTCAGAAAACAGTTACCTCTAATACTCAGAAAACAGTATTACTAACCATGTAACCATTGCAATGAGCTTGCATGTACCTCCTTCTTCCCTGGCTAACCAAACAATTAAAGGAAGATAGGCATTTAAGCTATTCTCTTTGGTGAAAGCTATATCTTGAAGAACTAATTTTAAAAATGGATGTTTGGTTAAAAACACTAAGGTGATCAAGTATCAGTGTGAAATAACTGCTGAAGATCAGTCACCAATCTAAAAGTCACTGTAGTTTACTTCAAATTTAAGAATTTATTTCTTAACAAAATTATTTACATTTTATGGAAGTATATTCAGGTGAAGTTGCTGTAGGCAATAAAAGGACGTGGGAACCAAACACAGCATTTAACTATAAATGAGAAAGTGTGTCATTGACACACTAAAGCCAACAAAAACATGAGAAATAAAAACTTAAGTTCAGATCCGCAGTCGCATATTAAAAACTACAGTTATGATAGTGGGAAAAAATGAATCACAAGTTACATATTTTGTGTAAATTCATCATAAATTCAGTCTAATCATCTTGCTAAATTCTGTCTGCTGCTTACTACTAAAGATGTCAATTAAGCAAAATCAAATCAACGAAAAGCAATTAGTAACTTTTTAAACTGAAGGATTTTCAAACTAACAAGGTTGTTGAGCACTCAAAACTGATGGCAAAGCCTGGTGATTCAGGAAACTTCTCTCCTCACTCTTTTCTTCCATCCTTTCATTCCAGCAGCGGGCTCTCATGCTCTTTGTGATTATACTGGCAAGTGATATCTTCTCCAGGCCAAACTAGAGTATTTTTGACACAATTATTTTGGGTTAACCCAAAATATACAATCTAGCAATATTTCGGTCCAGATTTTTTTCTTCTTTTTAGTTTCTCTGAGTTACTGAAACCATCCCCATAAATTTAAAAATTAACCAGGGAAGAAGGGCGGGGGGAGAAATGAAAAAAAAACCAAGCTTGTAGCACATTCAGCCTTAATCACTAGGCAACTTGCTCTCTGACCCTCTTCCTCATAGCTGTGTGGTGCCTGTGGCCCAGATTCACTCAGACCCTATCACAGGATTATGGTTTCCCATAACTGCTCTGTATATAACAATGTGGACATTGTCAAATGTTGTTTTCCCTTTGAGATGTTCCTTCAGGTTCTGGGTACCAACTGGTCTGAAGTACCCCAGGGGCAGTTGCCTTAGCAAATAATACAGTTTCCACATCCTGATGATTTCATTTCCCTTATCCTAACCAATCAACAGTCCGTTTTTCCAGCACCTTGCCCTCCATTATTTCCTTAAAATCCCAGCCCAGAACTCTTTGGCAAAACTGATTTTATGCTCCTTTCCATTTCCTCACTTGGCCACTCTGTGTCATTGAACTCTTCCTCTGCTGCAAACTCTTCTGTCTTGGTGTATTGGTATGCTACTACACAGTGGGCATATGAACTTGGTAGTTCTATAACATTACTGGTTATACAATCTTCAAAACTGGTTTACCATTTAAGGGCTAAAATTCTAAATATACGCTTATTAACAAGATCATAGCTAAAATAGACATGTAATATGGGCCTTAGAGCAAACATACAATGTTCAGTAGGACAAACCCAGATCAAATGACTCATTCTTAATTTCTAAAACTATAGTAATAGTAAATAAAAACTTCCTAGTCCATGAAGAGACAACTTTCTGGAACAATACGCTTTGGACAAAAACAGTGCCCTGGTAATAAGTTGTTCTGGGAGTAAAACTTAGCTTTTCATGTGGAAATTTACTTCTTTATAAAACGGAAAAATTATTTACTATAGCTTTTAGGGTTGTTGGTATATAATTACCTATTTGGACATGCCTAGCACAGGATTTGTCATATGGTAAAATTTCAAGAACTATTAGTTTCCCTGTCCATGAATGTTAAAACTCATTTCATTTACAGATAAAAGCAGTTGCATGCTGAAGACACAGCAAACTCCCCAAAGTAAAGCAGCAGATAGCATTGTAGATGTAACAATTCTAATGGTCCTAATCATCTTGCTGTTTTCGTGACTTATCTCTTTTTCCAAAACGTTCTCAATAACAACATTCTTCCCACACATTATACAGTTAATTTCTCTTCCCCACCTCTATTGCTGTCAGGGTAACAATATGAGCTCATGTTCTATTATTTTGCACAAGTCACTTTCCTTCAATGGATTATCTATAGCCCCTAACTTAATTCAAAAAATGTGATTATGACTATGCAAGAAGATGATAAATACAATCCTTTTACTTAGTTTCAGCTGAGGTTTCTAGACAATACTGAGCTGAATCGTTTTCTTTTTTTCTTTAGCAGCTTAGGAAAGAATTTTTGAGTCAGAGAGAAGGCTTGTTGAGTGGGAGAAAAGAATTTTGAATAGAGAACTCTGGCTGTGGTCTGAATCCCATTTCTTCACCCCACCCCAACTAGAAGAGGCTGTGATAGACAGGCTCCTGCCTCTCACTGCATATAGAGGAGGGCTTCAAGTGGATCAAGAAGAGAGCTTTAAATATGTCTCCTGGGGCTTCATCAAGGACCTGAACTGAGGCCACACAGATAAGAGAGGAGAAGAAATCTTGTTCAGGAATTCAGCACATGCTCCAAGATTTTACTGCAGAAAAGAATGTGTGAGTATATATACTCCAAATGAATTCACTCATGAGACATAATGATAAAAGGTTCGTCTTTGATTTTATCAGTGGAAACCACCTGAAAGGGAGAGAATATCTCAGGTCAAATAATTGGTCAAATTTCCAGATGCTAAAGGATGAGTGAGGAGTTGCAAATGACAACCAAGAAAATTATTGCAACCAGCCTGAGGAGACTGCAGGCCAGATATTCTTAGGGTTAGCTAATTTCCAAAGAACTCATAAAAACTTTTCAGGATCAGAATTGCTTCATCTAATTATGTTCTTCTGTTTATGTAGGCACGGTGGTTCTAGTACCCTACAGTGAAAACAAATTTATTTGTCTCATATGCATTATTTTTTTTTTCAGACGCAGTCTATCTCTGTCACCAGGCTGGAGTGTAGCGGTACAATCTTGTCTCACTGCAACCTCCGTCTCTCAGCTTCAAACAATTCTCCTGCCTCAGTCTCCCAAGTAGCTGGAACTATAGGTGCATACCACCATAACCAGCTAATTTTTGTATTTTTAGTAGAGATGGGTTTTCACCATGTTGGCCAGGATGGTCTCGATCTCTTGACCTTGTGATCCACCTGTCTCGACCTCACAAAGAGCTGGGATTACAGGCGTGAGCCACTATGCCTGGCCATATGCATTATTTTTAATACTACTTTTAAATTATTTCTCTATTTAGATTGCACAAAATATTTCTACTCAAGGATGTAATGATGTGCTGCTGACTTGCTAATGAGTTATTTGCTTAGAGGACTTTCATATCTAGAAATTAGCAATGCCATAACACTACAAGTGTAAGTGAAGTAAGTACTTTCCATTCCTTTCCCATTTTCTTTCTTGTTTCCTTTCTCTTAAATGCACCAACTTTAAAAAGTCAAACCTTGAATTTACAAAATGGGGAAAGGAACAGTCAACATCAGACGAAGCAACAGAGAATTACTTCCCCACATCGTCTTCTTTTTAAACTTACTCTATTGGTTGATATTCCATTCTTTTATTTATATATGTATAGTAGTTGGTAGCACAAACTTTGAGTAAAGAGAAGTCTCTCTCTAATTGATTATTATGTTATTATCTATTTTCTCTCTTGATTTAAATTTTGCAAAATTCTATACACAAGGAGATGTAACAATGCTAATGTTCCTAATGATGCATTTTCATACACACACACACACACACACACACACACACACACACACACACACACATAGTTGTTGTTGTTTTGAGGAGTTTCACTTTTGTTGCCCAGGCCAAAGTGCCATCTCACCATCTCAGCTCACTACAACCTCTGCCTGCTGGGTTCAAGTGATTCTCCTGCTTCAGCCTCCCGAGTATCTGGGATTACAGAAACCCTCCACCATGCCTGGCTAATTTTTTAATACTTTTAGTATAGATGAGTTTTCACCGTGTTGGCTATGCTGGTCTTGAACTCCTGACCTCAGTTGATCCACCCATCTCAGCCTCCCAAAGTGCTGGGATTACAGGCATGTCATCACACCTGGCCTTGCTTTACACTTTTTATATATCTATTAAGGAACAATCAATATAAAAACCTACACATATATAATGTATACAATTTGACACTTTTGTTTATACACATACACCCACAACACCATCACCACAATCTAGGTAAAATTATAACCACCAATCTTCCTTGTATCGCTTTGCTTTGCTGTGTGTAAGTATGTGCAGTAAGAACACTTGATATGAGAGCTATTCTCTTAACAAATTTCAGTGAGCAACGTAGTATTATCTATAGGAGTAAACTTTAGGCATAAAAATCTAATTGTGTTTTTAAAAAAATAAAAATATTGCTTCTGAAATATGCTTTCTGAATGAATATTTACGTTAGAAGTAGTTTAAAGCAAAGAGATTTAGGCCATATTCTACAATTTATTATAGTATTAAAATATGTGAATAGAATAAAGATTACTAGGTACAACAACTATATACCACCTTGTCATTTTTTTCAGTAAATGATAACATGTTCTTATTCATTCAGACTGAAGCCATGTAAACAGATGTTTCTATACACAAAAGGAAATCCTGAATTGTTGAATTGTTCTGGTATAAACTGGCTCCAACAGACACTTGAGTGTTTAAGAGGCAATGCCACGACCAACAAATCCAGATGCTCTGTGAGCTCCCCTAAATCCAACAGAAACATTGAGCTTTATACTTTCACCCTTGAGACAGTTTGAATTGAATAGCTGTTTGCAGAGTTACGTGAGGGTGAGACAAAAATGAAAGTACCATGTAAAATAGTGTTTCAAATAACATATTGGTTTGAAGATATTTATTCCAATTTTTATAAGGTTCTATTTCTTTCCAACAAGTTGGCTCAGCTTGTTAAAAAGAATATTGGCTTTTAACTTTATTCTCCTTAAGAACAACATAAACATAGTTAACCTATACGGTCACATTCTTCTGAGACTCACAGTGAATAAAAGAGGGCACTGTGTGGACAGTCAGCAATTCTTTTCCTGCTTAGTACCCCTAAAACTGTGTAATTATCCGAGGTGTTGCTATAAATCCAGTATTTACAACATACATTCCTTAGACGGTGAAGTAATTGCACGTGTCATAGGGGAAAAATGTTTCATTTTTTTTTTTTCTATTGAGACACTTTTTAAAAAAATTATTGAATTTATGCTTTGGAAGAGACATGAGCATAAATATTATGTAATCCAATGCATGACATTCTGGCAATACTACTTTAAACAATACATCTAACAATAGTAGCAACAGTCTGTCTTATTTCTAGTAAACATAATATGACTAATGACATTACTGCTATGATTTGAGGATGTCTTATGCTTTCAGGATAATTTTAGATATTCTCATATAACCTTGTTTTTCATCATCTCTCATATAAAAATAAAACGTTTTTATGTCATATCGCCTGACTTAAAACTACTCTTACCTCTTTCAGTTTGCCCTAATGCAGAAGTTCAGGGATATATAAAATTTGCTTCATTAGGAAATTGTAGAGCACATCAAGGTTGCCAATAAAATGTCTTTAGAAAGTTATTGCCAAGGAAATGAATTCATTTTATTGGTTGCTGTCTGTTTTCATAGTCTTTGCTTTTGTACTTTGACACACACACAGGCACACACACACACACACACACACGCACAAATACACACTTATAATTCCTGAGAAATTTATAAACCAACCCACCTTTAAGCCTCAGAAGCAAATCAGGTCCCTGAGGCTCTGTGCCAAGGTGACCATCAGAGTGTAACACAACATGGAACTTCATTCTTGACTGTGGTGAAAGAAGTTTAACTCCCAAAGCTCTAAGCCTTTGTTTTGCTTCAGTGTTTTTCCATGTATTCCTTTAAAAAACTTTTTATTAAGAGCCAATGTGAAAAAAAAGGAAATAATTTCTGTCTTTTATCATTATTATTATTATTATTATTTTTGAGACAGTGTCTTGCTTATCACCAAGGCTGGAGCGCAGTGGCTCCACATCTGCTCACTGCAACCTCCACCTCCCGGGTTCAAGCAATTCCCCTGCTTCAGCCTCTAGAGTAGCTGGGATTGCAGGCACGCACCACCACATCTGGTTGTTTTTTCTTCTTTTTATGTATTTTGTAGAGATATGGTTTCACCATGTCGGCCAGGCTGGTCTCAAACTCCTGCCCTCAGGTAATCTGTCTGCCTTGGCCCTCCAAATTGCTGGGATTACAAGACAGAGCCACTGCACCCAGCCGACAATGGAAATAATTTCTGCCCTAGTGAAGTTTACAGTCTAGTAGGAGAGACATATTAAACACAAAAACCAAAACATATACAATATGTATCCAAAACAGAATATATGCATATTATAGGAATTTGATTGTAATGGCTTAATCAACTAGGGATTTATTTTCTCATATTAAAAATGTTTTGTTGGGACAAATAATAATTTCCAAAGATGGATATGCCAATACATTCTATTTTAAGTGTTCTTTCCACAATTGAGAGGTAGAGCTTATCCTGTTTGCTCTTGAATATGGTGAGGTTCAACTATTGCAAAAGTAACACTATGTAACTTCCATGTCTAACTCACAAGGGAAATAAAGCTTTTGTCTGATCCTTTTAGGAGGCTTGATCTTAGAAAACAGCCGTTCCTTTGTACAGAATCCAAGCAGCCACATGGATTGGCCATGTGCAGGGTTTCCAGTCCCAGCCCCAGGACAAGCTGAAGACTCAGCCAATAGTAAGCATCAGCCTCTGTTATTTGCCAGAATGAATTTTCAAGTGATTCTAACATTGTCTTCAAATTGCCTTGTCTGATGCCGAGTGAAGCAGAAATGAACTCTCTCTGAAAAACCCTGGCTAAGCTGCAGATTTGTGAGTAAAATTAATGTTGTCATTCAAGTCACTAAGTTTTGGGTTTGTTTGGGCAGGCTTTGATACCTGTAAGTGGGGTTCTGGTAAATATATATATTTAACATATATAAAAAAACATTGAATTGTATGTGTTTTATGTAAAACATTTAATTTTATGTATGTCTGTGTATGGCTTTGCAAACGAGTGGCAAGCAGACAAAAGGAAGCTTGACAAACCTTGAAGTAAGGGTTAATAAAACCAAAAAGCAAGAGATTATTAATAGAAGCCCAATGGCTCTCAAAAAGACTATCAATGAGAGCTTTAAGAAAATTAGATACTGGTGGCTGGGGGTGCATTTTTTATTAGAAACTTTACAATCTTTGTTACTTGTACTAACATGAAAAATAGGATATCTGTTTAATGATCTAGACCACTACTTATCTTTTTTCTTGCTTTATTCTTATTTATTTATTTTAAAATTATTTATATTTATTATACTTTATGTTCTGGAGTATATGCGCAGATCCTGCAGGTTTGTTACATAGGTATACATGTGCCATGGTGCTGAATCTGTTCTTCTGGTCAGTAAAACAGTAGCTTTTGCAAAAGCCCTGATTTGTAGAATTTTTACCCCACTCTGGCCAAAATTGATACACATGGTTTTAACTGGGTATGATTCCATATTCAGGAGTATCAAAGTCTTAACAGTAAAAAAAAAGAGAAAAATGGACACTGGGTGGGTAGCCATGATCATGTCCTAAAACACTCATAAAAGCCCATGTGAGCATATACTAGGAATTCTGAAACTAGCCTGAGGACCTACAGCATATAATGAGATAGAAATATTTAGACAGAATATATAATACATAATTGTGACATAATTTGTTGATATTGATAGAGTCCTTAGGAGTAGTGTTGGAAAAATCATATTGGGGATAAGCATCATAAGCTTTAAAGACAAAAGTCACAATGAATTTGCTCATTTAAGCCATTACATGTGTATATACACATTTTTTTCTTATACATACATCACATATTTACAATTTCCAATGGTTACATTCCATCCTTTTTATCTGAGTTACATTCTGGTGTCATTTTTGTGTCTTGTAGATATTCTTAAACATTTTTTGTTGATTACCTAAAAACATATATTATTTTCATTTTGAGGGATAGTTTCAATGATATAGGGTTTCTAATTGACTTTTTAAAAGTGTCCTAATATATTGCTTGAATTATCTTTTAAGTGTTCATTGCTTCTGCTGAGAAGTTAGCTATTAATTACATTGCTGATGTAATTATATAAATGTTATTTTTCTCTTGCTGTGTTCAAGATTTTCTTTCTTCATTTGACTTTATGCAGTCTATGCTGTGCCTTTTGTGTGTGTGTGTGTGTGTGTGTGTGTGTGTGTGTGTGTGTGTGTGTGCATGTAGCAAAGGGAGTATAGAGAGTCACATATACTCCCCTCCATCCAGTTTCCCCTATTATTAAGATAGTAAATTACTATGGCACATTTATTACAATATTTTAATAAATATTGGCACATTATGATTAACTAACAAAAAGTCAATACAGTTGGTCCTTGGTATTCACGGGTTCCACATCTACAACCAACCAACCACAGATGAAATACATTTGAAAAAAGAAGAAATTATAATATAATAAAAACAATTCAAATTTAAAAATTAATGCAGTATAAAATTATTTAAATAGCACTTACACTATATTAGACATAAGTAATCTAGAGATGATTTAAAGTGCAGGCATACTTCAGAGATACTGCAAGGCTTAGTTCTAGACCACCACAATAAAGTGAATATTGCAATAAAGAAAATCATGAGAATTCTTTGGTTTCCCAGTGTATATAAAAGTAAAGTTTACACTATGCGGTAGCCTATTAAGTGTGCAATAATATTAGGTCTGCATACTTTAGGTAAGGAATATTTTGCTTCTTAAAAAGCTCTAAGGATGTTCTCTGCCTTTACAGAGTCATAGACTTTTTGCTAGTAGAAGGTCTTGCCTCGATGCTGATGGCTGCCGCTAATAGGATGCGGATTGCAGAAGGTTGGGGTGACTGTGGCAATTTGCTAAAACAAAGCAATGAAGTTTGCTTCGTCAGTTGGCCCTTCCTTCCATGAAAGATTTCTCTGTAGCATTCAATGCTGTTTGATAGCAGTTTACCCACAGAACTTTGACAATTGGAGTCAACAATCTGAAACTCTGCCACTGCTTTATCAATTGAGTTTATGTAATATTCGTTACATTCACTTACTTTTTAGCTACGTATGTTTTTATATTGAAAGTGGATTTCTTGTATATAGCATAGATTTATGTCTTGTTTTTTAATACATTCTGACAATCTTTGTCTTTTCATTGATATATTTAGACCATTGACATTCAAAGTGATTATTGATGTCGGGAGATTAATATCTACCATATTTATTAGTTTTCTATTTGTTATCCTTGTTCTTTGTTGTTGTTTTTGTTGTCTACTCATTTTATGCCTTTTATGGTTTTAATTGAGCATTTTATATTATTTTATTTTCTCTCTTTTCTTAGGATATCACCTAGGTATGCAATTTTTTATCATTCTTTTTAGTGGCTGCCCTAGAATTAGCAAAAGACCTTTACAACTAATATAAGACAACTTTCAAATTAACACTGTACCATTTTACAGGTAGCATGAGTACTTTACAATAACAAGATTGTCCTAATTCCTTCCTCCTTTCTCTTATATCATTGCTGTCATTCATTTCACTTACATAGAAGTATAAACATATATATGAAATAACATTAGCATACATAATTGACTACATTGCTGCCATTATAATTTTGAATAGAGTTATCTCTTAGGTCAATTAAGCAAAAGAAATAATTTTTATCTTCACTTATTCCTTCTTGGATGCTCTTCCTTTTTTAAATGTAGATCTGAGTTTCTGATGTTTTTTCCTTCTCTAAAGAACTTTTAACATTTCTTCTGAGGTGGGTTTACTGACAACAAATTCCCTCACTTTTTGTTTGTCTGAGAAACTCTTCATTTCTCCTACAGTTTTGAAGAACAATTTCTCAGGGTACAGAATTACAGCCTGGGTTTTTTTTCTTTGTCTTTTTCCCTCTCAATACTTGTCTCAGTCTTTTTGTGCTGTTATAACAAGATACCAGAGACAGGGTAATGTATAAAGAAGAGAAGTTTCTTACAGTTTAGGAGTCTAAGAAGTCCAAGATCAAGGTGCTAGCATTCCACGTCTGGTGAGAAATTCTATGTGCATCTTCACATGGCAGAAGGGGCAAATGTTGAATCCTTATATTGTGAGAAAGAGTGAAAGAACAAAAGGATGAAAAAAAAAAAACTAAAAGCTTTGGAACCTCTTTTATAAAGGCCCTAATTCATAAAGGAGGAGCCCTCATGACTTAATCACCTTTTAAAGGCCTCACCTGTCAATACTATCCCACCGGTGATCCATTTCCAATGTGAAATTTGGTGGACACATTCAGACCATAGCAACACTTTAAGTATTTCACTCTACTGTCTCCTTGGATAGTTTCTGAAAGGCTACGTATGATTTGAATCTTTGTTCCTGTAGGTAGCAATTTTTTCCTGTGGCTCCTTTTAGATATTATCATTAATATTATTATTTTACTTTTGATTTTCTGTAACTTGGAAATGATATGCCTAGGCAGATTTTGTTTTGTTTTGGTATTTATCCTGCTTGGTGTTCTCTGAGCTTGCTGGATCTGTGGTTTGATGTTTGTCATTGATTTAGAAGATTTATCAGTCATTATTGTTTCAAATATTTTTTTCTGTTCTTTTGTCTCTTTCTTTCCCTTCTGGAATTTTCATCAAATGTATGTTACCCTTTTTGTAGTTGTCCACAGTTCTTGGATATTCTATTCTGTTTTTTTTTTTTCCAGTCTTTATTTTTTTCGTTTTTGAGTATTTAAGATTTCTATTAAGATATCCTCAAGCTTGGTGATTCTTTCCTCATCAGTGTTCAGTCTATTAATAAGCTCATCAAGGGGTTCTTCATTTCTGTTACGATTTTAATTTTATATTTTTACCTCTATCATTTCTTTTTTTTCCCCCTCAGGATTTTCATTGCTCTGCTCACATTGCTCATCTGTTTTTGCTTTCTGTTGACTTCTGTGTGTGCGTGATAGAGTCTCACTCAGTCTGTTGCCCAGGCTGGAGTGCAGATCATGCAATATTGACTCACTGCAACCTTTGCCTCCTGGGTTCAAGTGATTCTCCTGCCTCAGACTCCCAAGTAGCTGGGACTACAGGCATGCACCACAACACCCGGCTAATTTTTGCATTTTCAGTAGAGATGGGTTTCACTATGTTGACCAGGCTGGTCTCCAACTCTACCCATCTTGGCCTCCCCAAGTATTAGGACTACATGCGTGAGCTGCCGTACCCAACCTGCTTGCTGTTGACTTTATCCATTAGAGCCTTTAACATATTAATTATAGTTGTTTTACATTCCCAGTCTGATAATTCCACATCTCTGACAGGTCTTGCTCTGATGCTTGCTTTGTCTATTTCAGTTGTATTATTTGCCTTTCAGTGTGCTTTGTAATTTTTTATTGCTAGCTGGACATGATGGACCAGGTAAAAGGAACTGCTGTCTGTAGGGCTTTAGTAGTGTGGTGGTAAGGGGAAGGAAGTGGAAGTGTTCTACTGTCCGATGATGAGGTCTCAGTCTTTTAGTGAGCCTCTGAACCGTGCAGCTTCTCAGTTCATTTCTCTCCCCCTTAACGTGGACAGGATAATTAGAAAGGTTCAAGTTAGGTATTTTCTTACCCCAAGGTAGATTAGGCTCTGATATTATTATTATTATTTTTTGAGACGGAGTTTCGCTGTTGTTACCCAGGCTGGAGTGCAATGGCTTGATCTAGGCTCACCGCAACCTCCACCTCCTGGGTTCAGGCAATTCTCCTGCCTCAGCCTCCTGAGTAGCTGGGATTACAGGCACGCGCCACCATGCCCAGCTGATTTTTTGTATTTTTAGTAGAGGCAGGGTTTCACCATGTTGACCAGGATGGTCTTGATCTCTTGACCTCGTGATCCACCCGCCTCGGCCTCCCAAGGTGCTGGGATTACAGGCGTGAGCCACCGCGCCTGGCTCTGGCTCTGATATTATTCTATCAGGTTAGGCTCTGGTTTAACGAGTTTCTCCTGAGCACAGGCCTTGTTAAGAAGAACAGAGTGCTCTGAAACATTTCACAATGGCTCTCCTTCCCCAGGCTTTGCCAGAAGCAGGAGAGTCTTTTCCTCTGATATTTACTTGAAGAACCTGGTCAAGTTTCTGAAGATAAGACTCAGAAATGTACGGGGCCCCTCCATGACTAAGTCAACCTGGAGTGTTTAACTCACAGGCGTGTCCACACTGAGCCTCCAGAAATTAACCACATTTCAGATTTTCTTGCCTCAGCACTGGTTCCTGCAGAGGTTTCAGTTCCTGAGTCTCTGCATGAGTCAGCTATGACTCCCTCTGTTCCCCTGTCTGGCTTTCCAATCTTGGGGGCAGTGGTTTGTCCTGTTTCCTCACCTCTCTTGTGAATCCAAAGAGAGCTGTTGATTCTCCATTCTGTTCAGCTTTTAGGTTGTTACTAGAACTGAGTGGTGATGTTCAAACTCCTTATGCAGATTCAAAAACTGGAAGTTCCGCTGTGCTCACTTATGTTTATTTTACTTTGGGCTCATTGAGATCAAATTTGTAAATTTATATTTTTCACCAAATCTGTAATATATCAGCCATTGTTTGACTGTTTTTTTTTCTTTTTTTCTTTAGTGCTACAGTTACACATATATTAGATGTGGATGTTAGATGATTAGATACTATATTAGAAGTGTGTATATTAAATGGTTGGATGCTTTTTACAGGTGTCTAAGAAACTGGTGTTTTTACTCATATTTTTCTCTTTAAGTATTGCATATTTTTATCTTGCCTCAAGAAAATTGAATCTATCTTCAGTCGTATTAAATCTGATGTTAAATATTCTAGTAAATGTTCGTTAATCAGTTTGAAGCTCTGGATTTTTCCGCTTTATAATTTTCACTTCTCTGTTGAGAGTTTCTGTTCAGTCATTAATTTCATACTGTCCTTTGATTGTTTTTTTTTTTTAAAAAAACAGTTTTATATGATTATTGACCATATATATAATAGTTACCTTGAAGTCCTTATTCACTAAATATCATATTTGAACCCACTTGGAG